TAATCATGTATATAGCAAGTGTTTAATTAAGGCTGAACTAACTCTGTAAAACTTTCAGGGTATAATCACATATACAGCAAGTGTTTAATTAAAGCTGAACTAACTCTGTAAAACATTCAGGGTGTAATCACATATACAGCAAGTGTTTAATTAAAGCTGAACTATCTCTGTAAAACATTCAGGGTATAATCACATATACAGCAAGTGTTTAATTAAAGCTGAACTTACTCTGTAAAACATTCAGGGTATAATCATGTATACAGCAAATGTTTGATTAAAGCTGAACTAACTCTGTAAAACATTCAGGGTATAATCATGTATACAGCAAGTGTTTAATTAAAGCTGAACTAACTGTAAAACTTTCAGGGTATAATCATGTATACAGCAAGTGTTTAATTAAGGCTGAACTAACTGTAAAACATTCAGGGTGTAACCACATATACAGCAAGTGTTTAATTAAAGCTGAACTAACTCTGTAAAACTTTCAGGGTATAATCATGTATACAGCAAGTGTTTAATTAAGGCTGAACTAACTGTAAAACTTTCAGGGTGTAATCACACATACAGCAAGTATTTAATTAAAGCTGAACTAACTCTGCAAAACTTTCAGGGTATAATCACTTTAGGAATGAAACAGCCAAGTATTTTACAAATATATTAAACTTTTAAAAATAATAAACAACACATTTTTGTACATTTTTCCATCAGTGCTTTAATATAGCTGCAGGTTTATTTATCCAACTAATTTTACAAACCTAGAGCTCTAGCTTCAAGAATTCTACCTGGAAGATAATGCTGTTTTGTCACTGAAATAAAGTTAGAAAAAAACGAATAATTTTTTAAGAAAATGTTATGTTTGAAATCGACCATAACTGAACTGGCTTTTTTTCATTTTTATATTTTCCAATAGTGGGAAAAAAAGGTTTCAGAAGCTAAGAAGAAAAAGAAGAAAGATAAGAAACGACAAAAAAAAGAGAAAAGGAAAAAGAAGATCTCTAAATCAAGCTCCAGTTCAGATTCTGATAGCTCTGATGATGAAGACAGAAAGAAAGATAAAAAACTTAAAAGGGTATTTACTGTTTTTGTTTTGTACCCAATTTTAAGAAGTAAAATGCTATGTATTATTTCAGCATAATATATACTAAGTAATAGGCATTAATCTATTTATGTTGTGCGTAACAATAATAATTTATTTACTGTTCATAAAGTTTGGAGCAGTAATAGATTTCTCATGGTTGATATAACTAAGTAAATAACGTTTTCCTGTCATTGGAGAGAGAAGAAACGTTATGTGCTGTTGGATACAAGTTGTTGAATTAAAATATTCTCCTACTTCAAATATAATTTAGATTATCTAATTAACTCTCTCAATATGGGCTCGATTCCAATGACCGACCTCGTAACCATCTTGTGCTTGTTATAGTTTTCATGCTATAATGCTTAATATGGTAAGCATATCTTCATGAAATTTTGCAGATTATCAGTAAACATTACAAGAGTTTCATACACAAAATATCAGCTTTTTTTTTTATAAAGTTTTAAGATTTTTCAATTAACGATTTGCTCATGCATTTTATGTTTTCAAATGTTGACTATCCAAAATACGAAGTATTTTGATTTTAAGATTAAAAATACTTTTATGCATTGGAAAATTTTCAAATTTCCCATCCAAAAACTTTATAACCTCCAGATAATTATGGGTTTGGTCGATTCAACCGACTTCCTAACCATCATAAAAAATGGGAAATATATATGAATTAATGCTATTTTCATTCTAGAATGACTGCAAATTATAACATGAAAACACAAATGTTTATCCTAAATAATTTAAATCTTATAACATATATTATTTTTATTTTATTGACCTTTCAGCAGTGTCTAACTAACATTACAGAAGTTGCAATGATGAGGTACACGTGTACTCGTGTTATCGTATACAAGAATATAAAACTTGCCTTTATAAAGTGACCTGTTTTGGCTGTGTTCTAGTGGACCAGTATTTTGTAAAATACAGCCAAATTTCACTTGTAATACATTTTATATGTACATAGCTTATTACTATTTACAAATAACTTCTTAGATTTTCATTATTTTTTGGAAAAATTAGAACAGTAAATAAAGAAGTATAGAAAACAATTATCTCTTCTAGTTACAAGCTTTGTACTCATTTGCAGATAAATTTGTTTTAGTTAAGTTCTATAATTTTCCTTAATCATTCAACAATAGTTTCCTGTCATTTTTAACGAGCTTTTATATTAGTATTTATATAAATATATATAAAAGTTTATAAATGCATGACTTATAAAAGCCCTAAATTTTTCTTTTAAAGTTATAGATTATACCCACTATAAATGAAACTTTCTTGAGTTACGTGACTAGATTTTGAAATGATTCCTAGTTTAAAACACAAGTTATGATTGGATTGAATGTTCAAGGTCTTCCTCTGTAGAACTAAAGACAGACTTCACAAGATTCAGTATTCAATTTTTATACTGAAAATTGACTGTATAAAATTCAGTATTCGCTTCTTATACTAAAAACTGACTGAACAAGATTCAGTAACAACAGTAATTCAACAACAGTACAATGTTATTAGAATAGTAAACAGCAGAATTTGACATGAATCATACAAATTATCTGTGCTGAAAATAAATAAATAATATTATTATTCTTACCCTAAAAATCTGATTTGTAAATAATTTAAATATAATGGATTGTAATTATAATTTCACTTACTTAATCTAGTTCACACTGTAGCAGTCGTCAGTTATAAAAGCTGATGATACATATAGCCACTACTCTGTCGCATTCCATCCAGATTAATGATCCCCGGCACTGGATGTGGCAGGTGTAGTATGGTTGACATACTATATTCATTCATTAGTTTTCAAAATAAATGGGACTTTCATTATTTTACACTTGTCATGTATGTAACAAAGAAAAAATATTTTGTTACTGGCTTAATGATGGAAATGTATAAACGGGACTGAATTTCTTAAAGTATGGATGTGATCTTTAACACTAACTCTGGTGTATTATATGTTGTTTTGTTGACAACAGCTATTTCTGTTCAAAGTATAAATGCTGGCACAAAATTGTTCTGTAGTTGGTTTCAACTCAACACTTTTGATACTGAATGTATGGCAGTATTGTATAGTTAGTTAACATCTAGCTATGTAACACTTCTGATACTGAATGTATGGCAGTATTGTATAGTTAGTTAACATCTATGTAACACTTTTGATACTGAATGTGTGGCAGAATTGTCTAGTTAGTTAACATCTATGTAACACTTCTGATACTGAATGTATGGCAAAATTGTATAGTTAGTTAACATCTATGTAACACCTCTGATACTGAATGTATGGCAGTTACATAGATGTTAACTAACTAAACAATTCATTCAGTATCAGAGGTGGGAATGTATGGCAGAATTGTATAGTAAGTTAACATCTATGTAACACTTTTGATACTGAATGTTTGGCAGAATTGTCTAGCTAGTTAACATCTATGTAACACTTCTGATACTGAATGTGTGGCAGAATTGTCTAGTTAGTTAACATCTAGCTATGTAACACTTTTGATACTGAATGTGTGGCAGAATTGTCTAGTCAGTTAACATATATGTAACACCTCTGATACTGAATGTATGGCAGAATTGTTTAGTTAGTTAACATCTATGTAACACCTCTGATACTGAATGTATGGCTGTTACATAGATGTTAACTAACTAAACAATTCACCACTGATACTGAATGTATGGCAGAATTGTCTAGTCAGTTAATATATAGCTATGTAACATTTCTGATACGTAATGTATGGCAGAATTGTATAGTAGTTAACATCTATGTAACACTTCTGATACTGAATGTATGGCAGAATTGTCTAGTCAGTTAATATATAGCTATGTAACATTTCTGATACTGAATGTGTGGCAGAATTGTCTAGTCAGTTAATATATAGCTATGTAACACCTCTGATACTGAATGTGTGGCAGAATTGTCTAGTCAGTTAATATATAGCTATGTAACACCTCTGATACTGAATGT